CACAGCAGTACACCACCTGATATAATACTAATTTCATGCACAGGCAGAGTGTTCTTTCCCCACAAAGCAGACACGACCATCCAATCTTCTTGATAATAGTATCCAGAGAATTTAATCCAGTTACTCTAGTATTGATCTTAATTACTTATGCACAACTTGCAGCAAGGCAGCCAGTCTTGATCTGACAATTTATAAATGAAGATGACATCATTTTCCATGATAGGTTGTTTCAATGTTTAATTATGCTTGTTGCAAAAGTCTTAATTCTTATTTTAATTCGACTAACTTTATTTAATAGCTATTGTCTTGTTACACTATTTCCCACTAGATTAAGTGAGCCCTCCCTGGAATCTTCTCCCCCCCCCCAAAAATATTTATAACCTTTAATGAAGTCCCCTCAATCTTCTCATAACTAAATGTGCTCCAAATCTCTCATTGTAAGAGATCTTTTCCAGCCCTTAATCTTTGTATATCATCTTTATACTCAATTTTTTTCAGGATCTTTTTAACACTTATGGGTCTGAACTGGACACAGAATTTCATCCATCTTGTTATGCAGAGGTAGTCAACTTTTCCCTCCCAATGCTGTTTTCCCAAGTTTAGACTCTCTCTCTACCTCATTATGTAGACAGATTTTCAGATCATATGAAACACTAAGATTACTGTGGATCACCTGTAGATCACTAGTCTACATATTAAGGGTTATTATGGAGTATTGCTTATCCATATAAACAATTTAGTCATCAAAGTATGTTTTACAATACAAGTCTCTTCCACCATTGGCAAATCACAAATAAGGCATTTTCTTGCCTACGAAATGCTTAATGCACACAGCCCATGCTATGAAGAGAAAGGATGCTGAATTTATTACTGATCACAGAAGGTGAGAAACAAGTCACCATTTGTTATCCATACGAGTAATTATGGCTTTCATTTCTGATTTACAATCCAGGAGGGAAGGATGGAACTGGAACACTTTAGTTTAAAAACAATTCTATCAGATACTTAAGTTAGTACTACTATTAACAGTATAAATTAGTATGAAAGATGATAGCTTGATACATCAAACAAAAAATACAAACCTTGTTACGGTAAAAACTATTTACCCAGTAGATAGGTATTTAAAACAGACAATTTATCCAGTTGTTAACATAAGGATTGCATGTATTATTAAAACTTCTTAAGACAAAACTCCACAACTTAGTATACACAGGGGCACAAATTAGCAGCTACAGGGTAATTGAAAATTGGTTCTTATCCTTAAGTAACCGTGCCAAATAAGAATCTGGAAACACAAAATGAACACTAGTTTCAACTTCCTTAAAATCAAGTGACACTGACTTAGATCCAAGTCACCTGTAAATACAAAGAAGACGACAGGAAAATCCATCTGGGTGGAATTAACTTTTATTGAGGAAGAAGAGGCTTATGTAACTGTAATGTTTCCATCCATACTGCTAACTCCAAAAAGATTGGAAACTAGAACTTGCCTGATCATTGCAATACCAAAAGGATTTTTTTTTTTAACAGCAAATTATTTAATTGCTACGTTCAATAAATATTTTTTTTCCTGTACTGATTTTGGGGGAAAACATTAAACTGAATACAATTAAAAAAATTAAAAAACAGATTTGCAATAATTTTAACTCTAAATGGGGTTCACTGTTGTAGCAGTTTAAATCTTTAAAAACACTGCCAGAATTTTCAGCATACAAGAATCTGTTTCTTATCCCAAAGAAATTAAACCAAAGTTTTCTCTACAGTTTTAATATTTTACACTCAAAGCGACTATTTGACAAGAAATCCTCTGGTTCATGACTAAAAGAAACCTGTTTTTACAGAAAAAGTTCAAAGCTGTAATGTATTTTTCAAAAGTAACAGGTAAACATTTCAACACAAAGATTTAACAAGTTATGTGGAAACAGGTTTATATTAAAGCATCTGAATGTGTATACTACATATGACATGCAAGCTCTAAACATATCATTGCTCTCTTCTTATTTGATTAGGCAGGAGTCCAATTGTTTTAAAAACAAAACCAGAATGACTTACAAAATGTATCAATACTTTGGGTTTCCTATTTAGTTTTGCTTAAGATGTTTAACTACACAAAACTACAACAATTACATTTTCAGAAGGATGGAAAACTGCAATACTTCAACTGAAAATATGGATATTCCAAATAAACCAAAGATCTTTAAGAGAGCTTTGGGTGGGCAGGGAAGGGAGCATAGGGAAGGGAAGGTTGGCAAAGGGGAAGCTAAGATCTGAACTTGGTATTTAAAAATCTTGTCTTCAACTGCACCTCTTCTGGTCTTCAGTAGCGTCCTGGAAAGAGAAGGCAGTGTTACTATAACAATCAAATCCACATGATTTCTCATGTGTCAAGCTCAAACACGGTATAACAGATTAATAAGCTGATGACAAATACTTACTTGGGCTATATGAACGGGATCTTGATCGCGATCGATAGCGGCTATAATAAGGTGAAGGTGATCGTCTCCTTTGAAGTAAATAAAATTTGAGTTTGGTTATGATTTTTTTTTTTTTTTTAATATTTACTTATTTCAGTATTGAAGGACCAAATCTGTCTTACAGCCTTGGACTGTATAGATGATTTTCTTTTATGCTGACTGTAACTTGTTATGATATATTTAATGAGCAAAGGCAGGGCAGAGCAACACCTTATAAGCTAACTAGTTCAGAGAGGCATGAACTTTCCCAAGTAACAAATTACTTTGTCAGATACTGTGAATGGACCTGCAGCGAGCAGAGGTTTTAAATAAATTCTACAGTGCTTTCAGAATAACACTGTTAAACTACCTCTTTCTACCTTATACAGTGCTTGAGACTGCGTATACTTGTAGAACCTCACAAATAACCAAACATTTCAGACAAAGGATGAAGATACAAGATTTTTTAAACAGTATCTGACATGGACTTACCCTTCAGTGTTGTTTTATTCTAAAATATTGCATGTTTTCCATTTTCCTCTATTTACATGTATTATGATTTTAACTTTAAATTTCTCCCCTCTCCAATTTATCATCTTTGCACTATATTACATTAGACTCTCCTCCTACTCTCCTTTTTCCCACCTTTCTTCTCTGAAAATAAAGGATGTTAAATTTGCTCATCAGCAACCAACCAATTTAACTTGGCTGAAGTTTGATTACGCTGATTTTTTCCTCAAGTCTTTTGCCTTTTACAGGCCGTTTCTGAGCAAGGTAGTGGAATTCATGCTCCACACAACAAGAGTGAAGGGAACTGCTGCATCCAGCACTTAGAAAAGCAAATTACTCTAACCACAGCATTTAACAATTACTTGAGTGACACTGCTCAAATACTTCTTTCACATATAACTTTTCATCAGCTGCTTTCCAAGTGCTTTTTAAAAGGAACTGTTCCCTCAAGATCTTACTCTCTTTCCCACCCAGCTCCTTATCAGCATGACATCATTCTATTCCCGTACAGAAATAAAGATGGGATCATTTTTTTGATTGTTATTTTGTACTAGTAATTACAGAAACCTTGAAAGCATTATACCCTACATAGCAGACCTTTAAAAAAAATCTCTCTACAGTCATCATCTACAGTAAGATTCTGTCTACAAAGCAGTTTTTGGCATGCAGTTTATTTTAAAGATACTAGTTTTCTGCTGGTACTACAAGTGCCCCCCAAAAACACTATACTTAAGAAGAGCATGTTATTATTGAAAACCTAGTTACCTGTACCGGTAATCATATTCTTCATATCTATCATATCCTCTGTCGTACCCTCTGTCATAGTAGGAATCGCGACGCCGACCTGCTCCTCCACCACCGCCACCTCCACTGCTAGTTAAAATAAAACAAACAAACAAAATAGGTATAATGCATGTATAAAAATCTGCTTCTCTCGCAAACAATAACTCTGAAAGTCAAAACATTTTCTTCAGTGGCAATCCTTCCCCAAATATTTTGTGTCAGACTGAATAACCCAACTTTTCAGTTGGGCTTAGGAACACACATTAAAGCTCAGATCCACAATGGTATTAGGTATCTAACTCTCACTGATTGAATGGGGTTCAAGGGTTGGGATGGATAAAGGATATTTTACAGTTTATTTTCAGTATTTTTCAGGTGGCATTATGAGACTTTTGGAAAAATCCACATAATACTAGTTACACTACAGAAGGACTTAAGTCTCTTCAGAGTAATTTAGAAGATACAGCTGTAACTAAACCAAAACAATCAACCAACCAACGGAGGAAAACCCCAAACCAAAAAGAAAGATTCCCATTCCCTTCTAGTAAAAAAGGCTGAGTATCCGCAGTTTAACTCCATCCACTGTTTAGATACTCGCTCCACGCCGATCTGATGCCATTTACATAACAAGAGTCAATTCCTTACTGTGTGGGTCTGCCCATGTAGATCCCCGGGGTGGGCGTGTGCGCTCGCTTGGTGATGGAGTAATCCACGCGGATTCTGCGGCCATCCAGCTCCATGCCGTTCGCGTGTTCCATCGCCTGCAGGGGAGACGGGCACGTTACCGACCTGAGCCGCGGCGCGGGAATCGCGACCGAGAGCCGCAGCCAACACATCCCTTCCCGCGGCCTGCCAGTGCCCCCCGCGGCCAGGGCCGGGCGGCAGCGCTGTGTTCGCCGTGCCCACGCTCCTCGGGCAGCACCGGGGGAGCGGAGCAAGCGCCATCCTCCCCTGCGCCTGCTCTGCCCCGGGGGGAGGGCCGGCTCCGCAGCCGTGCAATGCGGGGGCTTCCTCTAGGGTGCATATGGCCGCATTACTGCTAGTCGGCTGCCATTTCATGCTCTCCCAGCCTCCTGCCATCTCCCTTACAAGGACCTACTCCAGAGCTTAATAAAATGGCGGGTTCAGCCTACATGGATACCTAATGACAACGTTCCGCCCCAGCCCCGGCAGCGCAGCACACTCCCCGGCCGCCCCGCGTCTGCCCGGCTCGCACAGCCCCTGCTCCAGCCCTGGATCGATACAATGGCCCTTCACCCCATGCCCAAGCCTGCAAGGCAGGGCTCGCTCCGCTTGAGACGGGACGTGTTTCTGCAGGACTCAACCTCTGGACGAGCGAGTTGAACTGAAAAATCGGCGGTTCCGATCTCTTCAGTCCATTTGGGCATTTGTTATGTTTGCAAACAACTTCTGGCCCCTTTTACGCGACTGAATTTTCCGCTGTAACGGGCGCTTGGGGTGCATATATAGAGCAGTTAACACGAACCTTTCATTTGCCTGATATCAAAGGTCTTTTCCTTCTCATGTAAAATAAGCAAAAACCTTGCAACCCTACGAGGGCTTTTATTGCAAATCAGCACAAGGTGCATTCTCATTATATGTTTGCAAAGACCAATGCAACACACTAACCTGCTCCCTAATTAAACATTTTCGTTTGCAGACAGAAAGCAACTAGAATTGTAACTTGCTAAAACAAAACGGGATTGAGAATTTTTTTTTTTTTTAAGGCCCTTGCCTGACCAAAAAAATAACCTTATCATTTAATGCTGAAATTAATGCAACACAAATCTACAATAACGCAGCAGTTTCCCAATGCTTGAAGGGTGTTTGTGCCCAAAAGCAGGGCCAGCCACAGGCATGGGTGAACAGGGTGGCTGCCCAGAACCCAAAGAGAAAGGGGGCCTGAAAATGGTGAAATTAATGATTATCATCATCATCATCTCTGGCAAATGGGGGCCCGATACTAAAAGTTTGCCCAGGACCACAGGAGTCTAGGTACAGCACTGCCTGAAAGTTTGCAAATAACTTTTCCCCCAACTGTTTAGTTAGTCTAATAAAAGATATCACATCTACCCAAAAAACCTTGTCTGCCTATGGTCTCAGACCAACATGGCTGCAACTAACCCTGCAATAATGTGGCCAGCATTTCTATCCCCAAACTGGACATGGCGCAGAGTTCTCCACTAGAGCATGCAGACTGCTCTTTTACTAATGCTGCTTAACTCTAGATTATATCGCCATCTAGTGATTTCTACTCGAACAGGACAAAATAGCCACTAGGTTTGATATACAGGAACAGTAAAACAAAACCATGAGAGTATAATGTGCAATATCTCATTTAAATATGCAGAACATTAGTACTTAAATTTTACTTTTAGACAATTCCAGTAACATCATAAAACAAAAGGGCGCTATTCTGCTATAAGAGCAAACAGCAACAGAACACACTAAAACTGAACAGGGATCTCGCATCAAATCCAACAACATTTCAAGGGGGGCACAAAGGGTGCAATACATTATTTTCTAGTTGACAACTGACATTTCTGGAAATATGGTTTAGTATTCTTGATTGAATCTTACAAAGTAAAAAAATATGGCTGAAATAACTACTCTTATACAAACACCCCTCACCTGATTTTGAGCTTTTTTTGTTTGAAGAATTAACACTAGAAAGAAAAGCACCTCTTCTCAGAGGAAAATACAATTTGAAATAAGTTACACATGAGAATGTCATAACAGCAAATAATGACATTTTAACAAGCAGGTCTTAGAACTACTATTAAGTATGTTACACTTCAACAGATGTTTTACAAATCAGGTCTACTGGAAGAGATGCAGAACTACAAGTTTACCTTCTCTGCCTGTATCATCTCTATCTCACGGTCTTGAATCCCTTACACAAAACACAATCAATGCTGTATTATTTAGTTTTATAGCTCCTTATCCATAGTCTTGGGGCAACTTGTAATGAAAGACCAACCCCCAAGAAAATTAAGAGCAAACTCCCCCAAAGGACACCAGAAAATGTTTAAATGTTTTACCCCACCAACACTCCCACTTCTCATTCAGCTGCTAGCCATTCCTTTCACAGATGTATTAAAAAAAAACAAACTGCTCTGTTCTAAACATCAAAGAACTAAGAAAAATAAATGTATACAATGTTTTAGAAGCTGTGACCTAAAAACTGTTGCAAAATGACTTAGATGTTTCTTTGCAAGCTTGTTCCCTTCCCTGCTTTTGGTGCAACCCACAGGTGAAACAGCAGGATTAAACTTGTTTGCATGTGCTTACAGCACACACAGAACATACACTGGGAATGGCAGTTTGTTTATTTCTATACCTTAAAAAAGGTAAAGTTTGTATATGTTGTTGCAACTAGGCTGAGGTGTTGCATTCAAAATTCATTTCCATTTACTTTTTACTCTAAGTATACATATGAATTAAGACATTAAAATACCCGTCTGGGAAAGTTCCTCAAAACGAAATGGAATCAATTTAAAACCACTGTAGAAAGCAAATTATTTTCAAAGATACTTACACCATCCATGTATCAAATTTTTTTTTGGGGGGGGGGGGGGGGAAGGGGACTGGATTTTGTTTAAAACTTTTTAGTCAAAAGGGTAAAAGTCCCCCTGTTAAAATATGAGGGAGGGGCACAGAAAGAAAAAAAAAAAATCAGTGCACTCCAAATTTAAGAGAAAAAACTTTCACATTCATGTTAATCCATTCAGTATCTTTTTAGAAGCTTAGTATGTTGCATTTAGCTGCTGATTTGTCCATTTGTATTTCAATATGGATTTGCTATCAGATACTTCTGTGTTGTAATCAAGCTGAAATTAAAACGACTTTACAAAATGGTACAATAAGATGGGATTTCTAGAACACGTTTTTAGCTTTTTCTGAAAATTCCATTGGGAAAGTTCATTTTTTTGGTAAGACCATGTTTCTGAGACTTGGCAGAGGACAAGAAAGCAGAAGAATGAGGCTTTAAGGTACTGTTTTAAATCTGGAACAAATCAGTACTGACCATAACATCAAGTTGGTATTTTGTCACCACCCTAGTGGATTAATATATACATAAAAAATGTTATTATATTTGCTATTCTAGGTGAAAGTATCAGCTAAGTGACAAGAGTTCTACAGAGGCACAAGGTATCAGTCAGCTTTTCCACCCCAGGAAGAACCTCCAAGAGAGGTTTGAAGCATGCTGGTAAATACTGTGAGAAGGCTAATACTGATGAAGTGTCTTGCACCTGGGCAGTAGATAGGAAAGCTGTAATTTGTGAAGCTGTCAATGTCTTTCATAAAGATTTAACAGCTATGGTAACTATATTGTAGGTTTAAAATGAAACTCCATCCAGCTTAAATATGAAGCCATTATACTGTCTCAAACTGCTATGAAGTACTGTCAACTTAGTGGAGCAATAACTACTGTGAAACCAATGAGGCAGGTGCAAAGCATACTTAATTTACATAGTTGCAGGGACATTACCCTGAAAAATAAAATGTTTAAACCATAAACAGCAGTTATTAGTTTTGGGAACAGATGGAAATTCCTGTACATTTATTTTTAATCCCTAAAAAGATTACTTACATGAAAAGTATTGCTATCATAAGAAAACAGGCCAGAGACCTTCCTAGGTTGTAATCACTCCCACAAAGAAGCCATGCAATTCAAAGGATAGGATAATAAAATACAACAGGACTAAGGACAGATGAACTAAAAACAATACTTTTGTAAAAGCAATACACTGTTCAAAAGCTTTCATCACAATTTGAATAGGATGTGCACAAAATTAAATATCTGAAGAAAGTGCCTCTTTTCTCAAAGTAACCTGGGCAAGTCAAATTCAGGATTTAATTTCCACTGAACAATAAATTAGGTTCCTGCTCTGATTTAGGTAGTTATGGTAGTAAATACATTGTTCTAAAATGCTAATTTGTTTCTTAATTTCTGTGGTAAGACAGCCTGTCAAAGGATCTTTATTCTTTAAAAAGACTAAGAATTTGAAAAATATGGTAGAAAAATATGGAATGCTAGATACCAGAATTTTTATACTTTAAAAAAATTGAATACTTGTTAATTGTATCAATGAATAAGAATTTCAGGATAGTTCACTATCTTCTAGAATGAATCCCACAGGTCTACTGCTCCTTTGACCTATTTTAGCACATCAACAGTTCTGTGCTTAGATTTTTTTTTTTTTTTTTTAAGACTGTAGTGGTGAACACTAAGTTTTTAAGCACTCTGGACAATCAGCATGAAGAGTTAAGCAAGTATCACTAAAATTTTATTTCTGAATATACCCACATGCCAGCACTGTGGAGGAGAGCAGTTAGTTTCAATGTTTTGATTTACAAAATAAAAGTCAGAATATTTTTCTGGTCGTTTGGGATTTAAATTAGTACTTGCCAAAGGTGATGCACTAATAACTTTGAAGTGCTCCACCTACAGGACAAAACATCTAGCAACATGTCAAGTTCACACTTTTTCATGTTTTAATCAATATGCTTTTATTTACTTAGACAAATGATCTCTATGGGACAGGAAGTAATTCAAACCACACTTGAACACTCCTGGGTCCCTTTGCTTAGGCTGCCAATGATGGTGTCTATTGCCACCACTAATCCCATATAACGTCCTAAATTAACCAAGTCCTACATGCAATTCGTTTTCTTATATTTTTATTACCAAAACATAGATACTGTAGTTGAGGTTCTAGTGAGGAAACATCTATTTGTAATATTTTATTATTGAAGCACCTTGATGTATTTTAGCTAAAGGTTAAGCAGGTGGCTTTCTAGTACTACATTTTTTTTCTGCCAACAATACATATTGCTACATATTTTTCCTGTGATACACAGTGCCTGTGGTAATTATGGATCCAAGAAGAAACCAAGCCCCAGAATAATAGGATGAAAATCCATCAAGACATTTCAGTAAAAAAAAGATTTCAGTATGCCACAAAAAATACATTAATGTTTCTCTGGTATAATTTTAAGATGGAATATCAATTCTCTGAAGTATCTTCAAAAAAAAAATTATTACTGATCCGATTTTTCTCTTTAATACAAATGTTTCCCAGAAAGAACCTTCTGCAAGTCTGGTAAATTCAGGGACTGTCAACTTAAATGACCAGATACAAGTCACAAAAACAGGCCATTATCCAAGACTAAATTTAACAGACAGACTATAAGCATCTGCATAAATTATCATGTTCAACATAAAACATTACATATAACAAAACATAAACAATGTTAACGTATATAATTAATTGTATATGCGACTATATTCAGTAATATAGTGATTTAGATTGTGTTTTTAAAGAGCCAAAAGACATGTAAGAAACATCCAGAAAATAATATTCTCACAGCTAGAAGAATTTGGGTATTACTTCTTTGGAAACCACAACTAGAATTTAGTTGCAAATTCCATGGACATTTTGATCAGTAAAGGTTTGAAAAAAAGCCTGCAGAAGGCACTCACAAAAGTTTTGCAAAGCAAAGCACACATGGCACATGCAACTGAGGCAGCCATGCTTTACAGAGGATGAGCTGTGAAATAAGACTGCCAAGTTCAAACAATGAGAACCCCACTAAAATAACCTTTTCAGTAACAGTAATATTTTGTGTCTTGCAATTTTGGATAGCTTCAAAAGGTATGGAAGAAGATAGAATACAGTACTCCATGAGAGCTTTAGGAGAAACTCTCTTTTCCTATTCATCAGGAATGACTGATTTCACTGTAGTAGCATTGCACCTTCAACTCTGGCTATATCATGGAATAGCAGCATCAAAAGCCAAAATGGAGGGGCTTATTCTGTGATTTTAGCAAACATTCCTGATTTTTTTTTTTTACAGCAATATCACTTCCAGTGCAAGCCCAATTGCTACATATGATTTTCTGTGGAGCTTGCAACCCTGCTTTGGAAACTGATCCACAGCCATAGAAACAGTCATCAAAATTACTATTTCAAAATCTGCCTCTGTGACCATCTAAACTCTGACCAAAAAATCCAAAATATGATGGCAATAATTAAAAACACATCTACAGGTGTTTAGCATTTTTCAATTTGTGTTAAAATAAAGTGTTAACTACAAGACAGTGTTCAATTGCATTTAATGCTACAGACTTTGTATTGAAAAAATGCAATAACATTATGCATAACTCAGGAAGGAAGATGGAAGTTTGATACGATGGGCAGGTGTTCCTTCCTGAAACCTGAAAGAGAGTTTAGGATTGCGAGATAAACAGATTAGAAATATATCTGCAAACACAGCCAACAATGGCACCTAACCAGTCTGACAGCAAAACCACCACACTTAAGATTCAGAGTTTACCCTCAACTATGAAGGGTGAGGAAATTTCAAGATTCCCAGAGCTACTGTTTCACTCTGTGTACATTTAGTAACAAAGGCTGCTTACAGACATAGACCCCCCCAACCCAGCAGTTACTTTAAGCTTGGCATGCCAAGCGCAGCACATGCCCAGAAGAGGCACTGTGTTAGTTTAAGCCAGCTAGCCCGTCTGTATAGATTGTGCGCTTCAGCAGGGCTTTTTGGTGCTTCTATCTAATAGCTGATTGGATCCTTTTTTCTAAAGCTGATTCAAACTATACAGATGCTGAGGAGCCAGGTTGTCCGTCCGTGTCCTGTCCGTCCGTGTGTCGTGTCTCCCCCCCTGCTTAGTCAGTGACATTGCTGTGGGCAGACCAGTGGGCAGAGGCACCAGGCACAGTCTGGTGGGGAGGCATGCTGCGCCAGGCAGGTGGGCATGCAGGCACTACTGCTGCAGTGTGGAAACAAGGTGGGCAGACTAGAGCAGGTGCCACCCTTCCTACCTGGCAGGCTCAATCTTAGCAGCAGCTGGAGGCAGGCTGGAATGGACACTGCTCCAGTCCATTGGCTTGTCTGGAGCACCATGCCACTCTACCTCCCCACCAGATTGTGCCCCACATACCTGCTATTCCAGGACTTTTCACCAGCCATTACGGACCAGCCTATGAAATCTGGGACTGTCCCAGCAAAATTGGGATGCATGGTCACCATGCATTTGGGGGGGGGGCGGGCGGAGAATAAAATCTCTCATATGAATACATCATCATCTAACTCTCCCATCCCCAGTTAGTTATTCCATTTTAAAAGTAGGGAAATTAAACCTCTAAATAGACTGTCCAGGTACACACAGGATAGCTGTGCCAGATCCAATAACAGAACACCCAAAAACCCTCCTCCCTCTTTAACAAAGACTACCTACCCTGGAATAGGAAGCTGAACATTTTCAATTGTTCAACTACTTGTATTAAACCTACATTCATTTTCCATCAATGCAACATATTAACAGGAGACAGATACACCCCAGCATAGAAGCAGCCTTAAATTAAAAAACCTGAAACCTGCCATCTGCCAGCTCTACATCTGGCAATGATATTGGGCACCTTCCTCAAGGCAGTAAACCCTTTATGCCTAAGATTTCCTGGCTGTCAAGCAAAGATTATTATGTGATACTGTGGGGTTTTTGTTAACATTTGTATACCCCTTAAAGATGAAAAATCACTAAGCATGTTAAATATGTTTGGGGGTAAGACATCCTCCCCCAAGTATGGCTACCTCTGTGCCCATCCCCCACATTTCACACAACACTTGGGGGAAGAAAAGTGGGGGGAAAGGGCAAAAAGAAGCATCCATCAGAGCCTTAAGTTTTAACACAATTTCAAGGACAACAAAAAAATGTTATATTGGACCTATCACATTTGAAAGCGACATTTTATTAACAGTTTTCTAACCTGCCCTGTGAGAGATTCAGTTTTGACTTTGTTTTGATTCTATCCAGGCAACCTCAGGTAAGGCCAAAGATCATTTCACTTCCAACTGACTCAGCCCCACTTGCAAAATTGGCCTGAGTGCTAGAACTGAATGTGTAGGGGCCAATCCCACTCTCAAGTGCTGCAACCCCTATTTAGGAAACAAATATCAAGGACAGAGATTACTTAAATCCAGGTGCAAATGATCAAGCTGTGATAGACTAGAACCAACCAACACAAAAACCTGTCATAAAGAAAGCTGAAAGAAACCAGAGATCCCTCAGGCTTCTGAGACATGCTTAAGGAAAAGAGAAGAGCTACTAAAACAGTTCAGTGAAATCCATGTTCCTTTAGAGATTTTATACTAGACCTAGCGAGGTTAAAGCAGGGTCTCAATGGGTAGATGCAGATAAATTAAGCTTCAGGGTTAATCAAAATTTTTCAAATAAAAGGCTGGTTTAATATTATAATTACACTATCAAAATAAAAATATCCTAAGGTTTTTCAATTTGAAAATAATCCTTAAAAAGGAATCAAATTTTAATACAAAGCATTAAGGCCCGTCTTCAAGAAAAGAAGGAAAGATGGAAGATCCAGGGAACTACAGGCCAAGCAGTTTTATCTCAATCCCTGGAAAGATGGGAATTAAAAAATAAAAAATAAATAAATCAGTGAAACCACCACCAACAGGCTAGTGGAAGGCAACGTTCTGAGAGAGAGCCAACATAGCTTCGTTGTGGGTAGATCTTGCCTGACCAAGCTCATTTCCTTCTATGACCAGGTGGCGCATCACCTGGACAAAGGAGAAGAGGTTCATGTCATATACTTATATTTCAAAAAAGCCTTTGATTTGGTCTCCCATGATGTCCTCATGGTAAAATTGGGAAACTGAGGCCTCAACAGCCTTACAGTCCGAGGGCTGGGGAACTGGCTCTGTGGTCAGACCCAGAGAGTAATAGTCGATGGAACCAAGTCAACATGGCACATGGTGACCAACCCTCAGGGCTCAGTACTTGGACCAGTACTCTTTAATATATTCATAAATGATCTGGATTAGTGGGTCAGAAGTGGACTGGCTAAGTTTGCAGATGACACTAAATTATGGGGAAGTGCAGTCACGCTAGAGGATAGGCTGGAGATTCAGGCCAACCTGAACAGGCTAGCAAAATGGGTGCATCCAAACCCGATGACAACACAGAAATGCAAGGTGCTCCACTTTGGGAGAAAAAATCCACACCATACTTATAAGCGCAGCAGTGCTACATTCACTAGCACCATGACCAAGAGAGACTTGGGGGTCATGAATGACCACAAGATGAACATGAGCCACCAATGTGATGCCACAGCCAGCAAAGCAAATAAAACTTTGGCTTGCTTCTACTGATGCATCTCAAGCAAGACCCAAGAAATCATCCTCCCTCTTTACTTGGCCTTAGTGAGGCCACAGCTGGAGTACTGCATCCAATTCTGGGCTCCACACTTTAGAAAGGATGTGGAGAAACTTGACAGAGTCCAGAGGAGAGCCACGCACATGATTAAAGGTCAAGAGAACAGGCCTTATGGAGGAAGGGTAGAGAGGCATGGGACTCTTCAGCCTGGAGAAGCGAAGGCTCAGGAGTGACTTGGTGGCAGCCTATAAGTATATAAGGAGTGTAACATCAGGCATGGGGAGAATGTCTGTTCACCAGAGCACCCCAAGGGAAGACAAGGTCTAACCTTCACAGACTGCTGTAAGATCATTTTAGACTGGACATAAGGAAAGTTTCCAGAGTCTGGAATAGACTCCCCCCAGAAGTGCAACTGGATACCTTTAAGAAACACTTGGATGCTTATCTTGCTGTGGTGATCTGACCCCAGCCAACTTCCTGCCCCTTGGGCAGGGGGCTGGACCTGATGATCTTGGAAGGCCCCTTCCAGCCCTAATGTCTATAAAATCTATGAAATAAGGCCTACAATTGTTACAATCTTTGGAAACATTTAAGTAAGAAATACATGCACTGAACTAATAGCTCACTGAAATTCAGTATGGGAATTTAAGAGAAGTGTGATCTCCTAATTGTAAAACTTTAAAGGATTGCCCAAAAACAATCGAAACTAATACACACCTCAGAAAGAACCTCTAAAAAAAACAACCCTTCCATTCACATTTAGAAGGTACTCTCTCTCAAGAAATTTAAAGAAGCTGGAAGTTTTCCTTGCCAAATCTGAAATAAGCAGTTTAAGTTATTGCTTAAAATGACTTCTTCTGTTCAGTAAATCTTTTAGCTGTAAAATGCAAAATGTGTATATGAGAAATATATATGTCCAAAATATTTAAAGAAATTTCCTTAATACTCTTAAAATGCCATTTGTGCATTTCATACAACTCATTACCATTCCAATGTATCTGCTTGATAAGACACAAAGAAATTATTATCTAGTAAAGAAGGAATTTTTGACTGATGGTGAGTAACATATTTGAAAATATTAACTATGTAACTGTTTACATGTACACAGCTATACTGGACCTTTCAGGTAGCAAAACTGTGTAGAACACAGTGGTAAATAGAGGTGCACCGATATATTGGTCCATATCATATTGGCACTGACAAAAGGAAAACTGACATCGGCAATTGGCTTTTTTGGGCCAGTGTGGCTGATATTTTGCTTTAAATAGAAACAAATAAATGGCGCATGCATGTGTGCAGCCTCAGGCATGCACACAGCTAGGAATGTAGCCTGACAGCATGGAGAGCAGCATCTGGCCGGTAAGTCTGTGGTGGGGGAAGTGGGGGCAGATAGAGGCCCCCATGGTGAGGGAGGGAGTACGGCTGAGGCAAGGTCAGGAGCTGTCCATCTGAGGCAAGGCACAGGATGCACTGCATGCACCCCCAAGGGAAGCATGGGGGCATAATGATTGAACTTCAATTGAAGGAAAGTGTTTCAAATTGATCTCGAATATACTGAAAGTTGTTTTTGTGTAAGGGTTCTCAAAATAAATTTATATCGTCTGTCTAAAAAAATGTCTTTATGAAGACCTAACCTAATCATGAAAACTCAGTAAGGAAAGCATGAACTTACCTCTTTAGAATCATCTATTCTTTCAAAATAAACAAAAGCAAATCCCCGTGATCGACCAGTCCGCTGATCATAAACGACGTTGACACCAGTCAAAGGTCCATAGCGGGAAAAGACTTCACGTAGATCTCTTTCTGTGGTATACAAACTGAGACCAAACACTCCAAGGCATGTGTTAGGGTCTGGATTAGCCTGGTAAAATAAACATTCAATTCAAAATAAATTCCAATGAAGTGTTAGTGCTGCCATATTTATTTTCAATTACATTTCAAAATGTTTTAGGAGAAAACACTATACACTTTGTTCAGCCAAGTAGTCAATGGTTAGCATTTTTAACCTAATGCATTTTCCAAATTCAACATTTAATAAAGGTGAATTGAATATTTGTGGCACGATGCTGGATTGATAGCTCTGGAGCAGACAGAATAAGAAAGCAGCTGTACAAGCTTTCCCCACACTGAACCACTAAGATGCTTCAGGCATAACATGAACAAAAACTAACAGAAGGAGAAAAGGCCACATTCACTACATCTAGGGGGACCATATTATTAAGGGAATCTGGGATGTGGGGCACCAGAACATCTACACCGCAGACAGCAGGGTGGGACAGGAGAGTGTAGAGGCCCTGGCTAGGCTCCATTTCCCCAGTGCAGAGGCCACTGGCAGCCACCTGGGGCCGCCATGCACAGCCTGGGCCTTAGCAAGGACCGCAGCAGCAGGGCATGAAGCTGCTGATGGTAGGCAACTATCCCAGCTGACAAGTGGTGCCAGTTCAGCCCCTTCCCCACCTCCATGTGCTGCTCAGCAGGAGCCGGGCTGGGCACTGGGGGCAGCAGCATCCTCATCCAGGACTTTTGCCTCAGTTTACCTTAACTGATCAGGGCAGCCTGCAACATCCGGTACATATGGTCACTCAGAGATAGATGTATGTATATATCTCACCTTTGACCTCAATACAAAGATTGGCTGACATTAATGTATGCCATTTTACACAATTCTTTCATGCATTTTGAGTTCTTTATCTCTTTCTAGATATGAAGATCTTAGTTAAACCTGCAATTTTCCATTAAGACTCAATATTACTACCACTTTCCACTATGTCTGCATGCAACTGTGAATCAAAAGCACATTTCACGTTAATGAAGTTCACCTGTCCTATCATCATAAATTGGATCAAGACTAATGCCTCATCTTATTTAGGGCATAGGATGTAGCCATAGGAACGTGTACCAAGCAGCGAAACAGACCAAAATTCTAGCTCAAGGTTCGTGGATTGACATTCTGGGTATATGACAGAAATTGTGGCAGATTCATTTTGACTTTAAGAAGTAGATCAAAAATTAAATTGTACATTTTTATTTCAAGGTTACTTTATCACTTTTATAAGCCAGCTATTTTAAGTTATCCTGAGCAACAGTAGTTTTGCAACTGAGGCTTTCAACATCTGTGATGGTTAAGAGAAAAACTAAGGGAGTAGAGGAAAAAAAATATCACTGAATGGTACCTCTAAACGGATGAGCAATAAGTTAATATTGTATAAATTTAACTTTTGATTTAAACACCTCCCTATTTCAGTGAAGCTGACAGCATGGAAAAATACTTTCAGCCTTTCCAAACTCAAGAAAACCAAAACATAACAAAACATTTGTTTACACTGAACTTTTTTGTTTGCCACATTAAAGATCAGGAATATATGCAGGTGGCATTCTGCAGCACAAGGAAAAATTCTACAGTGAAAGCTCACAGTATTGCCTGACTATATGCAGCAGCAATCTAGTTCCAGATTCAAGCTACTGACAGGCATACAAAATTAGGTACTCTTCAGTTTCATTTAATCGTTCAGGGAATTCTTGAACAAGAGGTTCAGATAATTTTTTCTAAAAGTTACACTACATGAAAGGCATAGATAAACAGGAAAGAAATATCTGGAAATGTTACGGGATACCTTAACATTTGTAAGGGATACCTTAACATTTAAGATCAAACTGCTGTGTGTGCGTGTGCGTGCAAAATTTAAGTAATTTGCCAATGTTTTTGACCATAACAAAAAATTTAGGGAGAAGTCCTTTGGGAGCAGTTATTTCTTTGCTTTGTATTTACCTTTAACTCCTGTATTATCAGCTTTAAGTGTATGTTTCATTTGTATGAATCTTATACTGTAATAGAGAAAAATATCTGAAAATGTGCTACTAATTAACAGATCTAGTGTTACATAAATAAAATTCTAAAACCACTCAATTTTTCTTAGTTGACTAGGTTATGTTTGTTTCCTTTTAAAATTCCGTTTAAGCCACTTTCAACCCAGATTCTGTATTGATTTTCAAGGCATGATGATATGAATCAATATACAGTAAAAGCTTTGGTGTCTGGCACCCATGGGGAATGGAGGGTGCTGGATAACAAAATATGCCAGATAACTAAGCAGACCGAACAGGGTTCTTTGGCTGTTCAGGCCGCTGCCTGTCCCACCATGTCTGGAGCGTTGTTGCCCCACGCACCGCATTGCCACCCCTCCCGCAGGCCCCAAGGGACAGGGACGGGGGGGACCCGCGCAGCCTGCTATGCCCCTGGGCCATGGGGGCTTCGTGAAACCGGAAGTGCCATCGCGGGCACTTCCGGTTTCATGTTTCCCTTACAAGTCAGCATGCCAGTTAACAGAGCATGCTGGCTCGCAAGATACCGGTTAACACAGCTTTTGCTGTGCTTGCAACTATACTTGAGTATAGAAAAAAGGCCAATTTCATCAAAGAAATAAAATACATTTTATGACAGTATTTATTTATAATGAAGATTATGACAGTATTTATAATGGGAAGATTATAAAGAAATAGTAAGCAAAACCTATTAATAAAAAAAAATACACAACTATGCAGGGAGCTGTATTAGCTACTGTATCAGATTCCTGCACCCTTTTTTGACAAGTCTGTCCTTTGTTTGTAACAGACCTTTGCAAAGTGAAAAGGAGATGACTTTGAGGGTAGGTATGTGACCTGACCTATCTTTGTCTCATGATACTGTACTAAGTTTTAGGAGAGTTAAACAGTTGAAAATAAAAATCACCATCTTTCTGGATCTGGAGAATCCAAGTATTAGTCTGGGGTCTGCAGCTGCTATTGCTGTTTTACAGTGTAGACAGCTTAGTACTAAACACCTGGAAGCCAACAGAGACCATCCCACCTGAAGTTCTCAGAGTATGAAAAACTGACCTCAGAAACAGACGCAGGGTTCTGAAGCACACTACAAGATAAGAGGCTGTCAACAGGGGGATCCTGAACTGGTCCACAGATGGTCATTAATTTATGACTAGGTACATAATGGCTTCTAAAAAACTTGTGCGTGGAAGAGACAGAACCAATACATTATTAGGGGTGTCAAGCATAAAGCACTCTGCCCTCCCTCTCAGTTGGATTTGGCACATGGAGCTGTTCCATGCAGTCTGGCTCACTGGCCTACTGGAAACTTGGGGATGGGAGGCATGGCCTGCTGCAGAATTCAGGGCCCTTTGTAGACAAAGACACTGGTGGTGGTGGAAAAGGGGTGGGGAAGAGGAAGGGGATGTTAACATAGCTGTGCCAGACCCTGTGTTTCAGACCCCAACCCAGCCCAGGGTGAGTATGACACCTCTGCACTACATAAACCAACTAAAAACACAGGCTGGTGCATTACTGACAGTCTCAGGGTCATACTAGATGCTAGACTTGCAATTACATAGTAGTTTTCCCAGACTCAATTAGCAAAAACCTTTAAGGAGGCAAGGTAAAAGGTTTACTTGTCCTCTGGAGCATGGTTTGACTTGAGGTTACATTTGACTTGAGGAATCCCACCTGGGCAAATCTCTGCCATATATGGTTCCTGGGCACTTGGCAACACCTCTCTCTCCCCTATTTTGTGCTGGTGGAGACGGCTTGGTCTATGGCAGTAGTTCTGAACAAGAGTGCTGTGGTACCTACACCTACACAATTTACAAAACAAACCCAAAGGTTTCAAATAGAAATTCACAGCGTCAAAAACATTCTGACCTCTTTTGGTCATTCCAAATCCTTTGTAAAAGAATGGCTACTTTATAAGGGTGCACCAATAAAGATTTCCTGGGCCAATGTTGATGGCCAATTATTCACTAGATGTATCAGTCGATACCAATCCAATAACTGATTTACAGGAATTCAGTTATGCAGCGTGGAGAACAGCACCCTGCAAATAAGTCTGTGGAGGGGAAGGGAAGTGGTGGGGGGCAGACCGAGGCCCCCCTGGTAAGGGAGTGGGGCAAGGCGGTGAATGGGACCCCAAGGCAAGGGTGGGAAGCAGGATGGAACAGTAGGCAGGGAATCACCATCCCAGTGCTTAAAAATGGCAGCAGGGGCGCTTGAATGAAAGCTCATCAAATGAGTTTTCATTCAAGCACTGCCATTGCCATGTTTAAGCACTGGGACACTTTTAACCGGAGTGCAGCTGAATGGAGGTGGGCTGCCTGCTGTGGGCTTGGTGCTCGCCACCCTGCTGCCCTTACCTCAGGAGCCATGCCTCCTGCCCATACAGTGGCAGCAGTGAGATGTGCCTCTAGCTGATGAATAGGCAGGGGACACGGCATGGCCAGTGCACAGCTCCCAGGTTACAGGCAGCAGGAAGAAGAGCCCCAAGTTCTGCCCACAGCAGGCAGTCTGCCTCGGCCCTTGCCATGCTTAGCTGCGGTTAAAAGCCTCCTGGTGCTTAAAAATGGTGGTGGCGGAACTTTAGTGCAAACAGCCCCACTGCCATTTTTAAGTACTAGGATGCTGATCCCCTGGATGAGCTGCCCGCAGCCCTGTCCTGTTCCCCCAGGGTCTCATTCACCACCCTGCCCCAGCCCCACTGCCTCCCTCATCATGGGCGCCTCAATCTGCACCCCTCCACACCCCCTCCCTCCTATACACCCCTTCACCTCCACAGACTTACTTCCAGGGTGCTGCTCTCCATGCTGCCCTGTCAGTGCATGTATGCAGCTGAAGTTGTATGTACAAAAATAGGGCTGTCAGAAAGGAGACTTATAGACAGGACCACAAAATGTGGCAATCCAGACTGCTGCCAACAGCATTCCAAACAAGTTAAATGAAAGTAGAATTAGGGCCTGTGCCTAGGATCATGTAGTTAAGAGGCTGGTCTTCAAGCTGATGTAGGGGGAAGCAGTCTTAGTTGCTCAAGAATATGGTGACTGGGATAGGTTTTCAAAGGGTCCCCTGAATGATCTTCAAGACAGAAAGCCATGGGAACTTAAAGGATAACCCTGAAACCATCTTTAAAATTTATAATTTTTTTTCAGCCTGTAAAACTCAACAGTAGGATATATATAGATATATATAGATATACAGATATATATAGTTTTTGAAGGAATGGACAGATGGCACTAGGATCTTTCTGAAATGTATCCAGGTGCAGATCACCTTGTCTGACAGACTATGACCCACAATTCCCAGGTGAAATTTTGGTTTTGATTTACGTAAAAAGTATATGAAAATGTATATCCTTAACACACACATTAACTCTTTAGATACTAAGAGATTTGTTTCATCTTGTATGCAGAGGACTAGGATGAGGCTTAGTTCTCAGGCTGAGGCCACTATACAGGTCACTCCTTAGATATGCTCCAGCAACCTGCACAGAGCAGAAATGATCCACACTTAAACAAGAGAGCCCACAGGGCATTCCTTTACCAAGAAGGTCCAAAAAAGATAAATTCTAACTGTAGTTCTTCTTTAGTAAATATTAGATGTGCACAGTCACAAGTGCTCTTGAATACAATATGCTGTGAACTATGCATGAATAAGTAGTCAAGCAGCAGGGGGCAAGGAGGAAAGACTGGCAGAGGAAGGCACAGATCTAAAGACCCAGAGTCCAGACATCGTGATGCTGCTCAAAAACATGATTCTGCAGAGTAACACCTAGTATCAAGTGAAAGGGAATTGGTTCAAACAGTAGTCAAGCAATGTCTTTCTCGTACTCCTGCAGTCAGCCTGGATACTAGATGTCTCAGATCTTACCTCTTTCATTAACATACACAAAAACAGGAATTTTCACATGCACTTGTAGGATAGATATTATTTTTTGTTTTAATAGAAAGCAGTTAACAAAGAATTAATTATTTAGGTTAATACTTAGCCTTGATGAATACCACATACTCTGCTGCCAGTATGCCTCCTTCGGTTAGACATTGGAGAATGACTGCGGCTCCTTCGACGACGATATTCTGGTGTGTATGATCTGCTTCGAGATCGTCTCCTATGGGAATGGGAGTGGGACCTGGAGCGAGTGTAACGTCTATGAGAATGCCTTCTTGATCTGGACCTTCAAAACCAAAACAAACCAAAAAAACCCACATTCAGTTACTTGTGTGCCAAATACATATGGTATATAAAAAAAAGATAAACACCCCAGAGGATTTTTAATAAACTTTACTTCAAAATTTAAAATGTCCTTTTAGATTCTACTTTTTACTTCATCTATTAATTCTAAAATTGCAAATCTATCTATACTAGTTTTTAATTCCCTCAAGATTGTTCAGTAGCACAACTGAGATGGCAGGTATACTTCTGACATGCATCTAAGAAGTTTTAAAAACAAAGATTATCTACACAGCCAAATTAACAAGAAGAAACATCTGTAGCAGAGCAACTACATAAAAACTCTATACCCTATGATTTGTGCATTATGCATCAGGAGGGAAACAAAGATCCAGTAGTACTTTAAACTCACCCAACTGAGGCACATCTAGGCTTAGAAGTAAACAAAACTAGGGCCGAAAGTACTTTACTAGTTTCATAAGTAGCAGTTTGGTTTTAGCAATTTAACAGGTTGGTTCAGAAAGCAGAATTACATGGTTTTGCATCCATAGTTGGTAGGGTCGGAAGGGACCTAATCAGATCATCAAGTCTGACTCCCTGCCACGGGCAGGAAAGAATGATGGGGTCAAACAACCAAGGCGAGGTGTCTATCTAGCCTCCTTTTAAAGACTCCCAGGGCAGGAGCATGCACCACTTCCCTTGGAAGTTGGTTCCAGCTCCTGGCCACCCTGACTGTGAAGTAGTGCCTCCTGATGTCTAGCCTGAATCTACTCTCAGTCAACTTATGGCCATTATTCCTTGTTACTCCCAGTAGTGCTCGGGGGAAACAGGGACTCTTCCATTGCTTGCTGATCCCCCTTGGCCAGTTTGTAGATGGCCACCAGATCCCCTCTCAGTCTTTTCTTGTGGAGGCTGAACAGGTTCAGGTCCTGTAGACTCTCTTCGTAGGGCCTACCCTGCTGCCCCCTGGTCATGCGAGTGTCCTTTCTCTGGACCCTCTCGATGCTGTCCACATCCCTCCTGTAGTGCAGCGCCCAGAACTGGACGCACTACTCCAACTGTGGCCTGACCAATGTCGCAGAGGGGGAGGATCACCTCCTTGGACCTGCTTCTGATGCATCTATGGATGCAGGACAAGGTGCGGTTAGCCTTCCTGATCGCTTCCCCACATTGGTGGCCCATGTTCATCTTGGAATCAATAGAGACTCTAAGATCCTTTCCTGCCTCTGTGCTGAAAAGAAGGGAGTTCCCCAGGCTGTAGGTATGCTGCTGGTTCCTTCTCCCCAGGTGCAGTACCTTGCACTTGTCTGTGTTGAAACCCATCCTATTCTCATCTGCCCACCCCTGTAACCTGTCCAGATCTCGTTGTAGCCTGTCCCTCTCTTCTAGTGTGCTCACTTCTCCCCACATCTTAGTGTCATCCACGAATCTGAACAAAGTGCTTTTCACCCGCTAGTCCAAGTTGCTGATAAAGATGTTGAACAGTGCAGGCCCAAGGACCAAGTCCTGGGGAACCCCATTGCCCACATCCCCCCAGGTCGAAAATGACCTGTCCACCACCCCCCTCTGGGTGTGGCCTTCCAGCCAGTTTGCAACCCCTCTGTGTAGACGCTGACGCCACAGTCACTTAATTTTTTAATGACGATTGGGTGAGAGACAGACAGTGTCAAAGTCCAGAAAGACTACATCCACTGCGACACCCATGTCCAAGGATTGTGTGACCTGGTCATGGAAGGCAACCAGGTTGGTCTGACAGGACCTACCTCTAATGAACCCGTGTTGGTTGCCCCTAAGCATCATCTCCCATGCTGGTCCCTCACATATGTGCTCCTGGATAATTTTCTCAAAGAGCTTCCCCAGGACCAAGGTAAGACTAACGGGCCTATAGTTTCCTAGGTCCTCCTTCCTCCCTTTTTTGAAAATGAGGACCACATTGGCCCTTTTCCAGTCCTCTGGCACCTCGCCAGAGTATGAGTGCTAATAAAGCTGTGCCGGGGTCCTGCAATGACCTCTGCCACTTCCCTCAGCACTCTGGGGTGGAGATCATCAGGACCTACTGATTTGAACATGTCTAGTCCACCAGAAGTTCCCTGACTAGATCCTCACTGACCCTGGGCCTGGTCCATATCATGAGCACTGATAGATTATGATCTTTTAAGTTACAGGGCTGGAGGAAAACAGAATTATAGAAATAAAAGACTAGAAGGGAACTTCAAGAGGCCACTTAATACAATTCCCTTGCCAAAGTGATATCAAAACTAGTTAAAGTATTCCCCAAATGAGATTTACTATTTCTTCTTTCTGCATCCATGCAAAGACGGCTGACCACAACAACTTCTTACCTATCGGAATATTTACGTCTGCTTCAGTTTTCTCTCTCTCCTGATCTAATAAACAAATCCAATTCCTTCAAACTTCACATGCAGGCCATGTTTTCTAAACCTCTTGTTCTTCCTGCTTTCCTATGGTCTCTCTCCAGTTTGCCTATCAAACTTTCCTAAAATGTGTTCAAATCAAGATGCTGTTATTTGTGCTGCTTCACTAATAAAGTCCAGAATAATAATCAACACCAAGATCTTACGTAAGGCACTCCTATTAATATTTCAGAATATTTGTGCTTTCTTCTGCACCAGCAATGTATTATTGACCAATTTGCCACATGTTCCAGTATAACACAGATTCTGGTCACCATCTTGGGACCAGAAGTCCTGCCCCCTAACCTCTGCTACTAGAAGTCCCTCCCCCTTGCCCCCGAAACTACTGCTTTCAGCAAGGAGGGTGGCCATCTTGGAACCACGAAAAAAAACAAATTATATTCTAAAAATCAAATATCTACAACAGTCATTGATCTGATTTCAAAAAAATAATTTTGTCCTGATTTACACGTGTTTGCGTAGTGTACATAGAGGTGATTGTATAATAGCTTCAAGTGAAGTCTTACTCTTGTATGTTGGGGAGCTGGAGGGTATGGGCAGGTGGGTATAGATCTGTGGGGGGGCTGTGGGTGTGTCTGTGGGGTGTGGGGGAGGGTGTGGATATGTATGGGATTGGGGGGGTGTGGGTATGTGGTGTGGAGCGCATGTGGGTGTATGTGTGTGAATATTAAGGTATGAGTGGGTATGAGGTTTGTGGGGGGAGGGTGGCTGGGGGGGTTGTGGCTTTTTGTG